TTTATTATTGGGCTGGTCTGACATATTGCCAGGAAAGTAGAAAATGTTATTTTGCAAAGTCTTGTGACATATAGTGTATTAGTATGTAGGACATTGCAGTATTTAAAAGGCTTATTTTAATCAATATTAATAAGACATGTTTATATGATCCTGTCAGGTGGGAAAGTGGGAAACCTTGCCAGGCAGCTAGGATGTCATGTTTATACATGTTCGTGAGTGAGTTCATCAAATATATACATGTATTTTTGAACACAAGTTGATATGATAGTCAGGATCTTGGAAATTGCCTCATCCTGCCTAGCTGGGATTTTATAAACAGGCCCTTTCATCAGTTTCATGGAGCCCATGGCTAGGTAATAATAGGCTTGCATGGTTAGATCTCCCACAAGCTAGTTTGGGCCATTTGCAGGGGCGTAGGAACCTTTGAAAAGTTGGGGGGCTGGCTTTGAGGGGCACTTTAAGAAAAAGAATGACATCTCCAAATTTTTTGTTGGCAACCTCTCCCCCCCCCACACTTGGGGGGGGGGGGGTTCCTACGCCCTGGCCATTTGACAATATTTTTTAGATTGGGCAGGTAATTTGTGAACTGAAACTGATATATCAGTGTGCTCATATATGCTAATTGCTAATTACAGGCAAGCACAATAAATTCAATATTATTTTATATATTGACAATATGATTTACCATGAATACTATTTGAATAAATGTGGGCACATAGTTATTTGAAGGGCAATAAATAAATCCAATTGTTGTGAAGGGGCAAAGAATGGGACTTGTTGGATAGCGTAAGTAGAGGATTTATGGAATAAAAGTATGCAATGTTTTATAAATTCAGAAATCAGTGAAATATGCATTTAGTCTGTTCAACAAGCTCAAATATGTTTGCTCTCAGCCCTCAGGCTGAGTTTTGGAAACCTTGTCAGTATGGTATTAAGAAAAGGATAGTTGTCATGTCAATGTGTGTTTTTAACGGCTGTTCATATGAAAATGACAAAGTATGATAAATTGCTAGTTCTGAAAGATTGAATATTTATTTAAGTTAATAAAACAAGGGTTCAGAAAATTTGTTGCAGTAACACTTTAGTTAGAAAATATCAAAATGTTAAACACCAAAATTATCCTGGCATGGGGGATTAAGTTTTCATGGGGGAAAAGAAGCCAAATTCTTCTTGCATTCCTGCAGAGATGTATTCAGGGATGGATTTACTGGGGGGGGGCACCCCCCTTGCCCTGGCCAGAGGGGGTGCAGGGGGGGGTGCTATTTTTCATGATAAAGCAAAAAATTATTAGAGACAAAATGACATACAGTAATTTGAGTAATAACATGATGATAAGTGAAATGTGAACAACAATTACAATTTAAATACAGTAGTCAAGCAGGACTTTGCAGTAGTGAAGCAAGTTGATGGGCGGGTGGCACACATGACCGACACAACTCGGCACCAGAGCTGGCAGAGCACCCCCTACCAGATCATGCTGGATCCATCCCTGGATGTATTTACTGCCATGGGGATGCACCCCCTTAACATTGGCAAAGGGGTGTAAGGTGGGGGGGGGGTATTTCATCAAAACATTTTTTTTTCAATTTGGAAAGGCAATATCCTGTCACCATTACCACAATAATACCCCTCACTGCTGTGTGTAGCTACAAATGATCAGACTTGGTCAACAGTCATACACTGAACCATATATGGGTCGATGAGCACACCCGGCATCCATTTGTACAGACAACTTATACAACACCGAAATAAAGCCAAGAACATTTTAAATTTCAAATATTCTTGCTACATCAAAAGACTGTTTAACCAAATCTATGAAGGTGCACAGTAAGTAAGGTACAGTTCAACATCAAACACTACTGTATGTCTTCTATTTTGTAGCTTTGAAGTTTGCAGGCTTCCAGACCATCATAATGATCATATCTTGACAGACTATTGTTTGGTCTATGAAAGACTTAGTTCCTTCACTGTTCCTCGAACAAAATCGATCATAAGGAAAATTTTTAGATATTAATAATCACAAGGCGTAAAATTGCATTGCGTATAACTATAGTCTATAAACAACTCAAATATTAACATTACATTTATGTTCCTCTTCAAAGAATATTCATTGAAAAACTATTTGTTTGAAATAAGACGTTAATTATTCAGATTCACCTGCTTTTGTTGGTAGGGTTTATTGTTTTACTATTTAGATATATAATATTTCATTGACTCGTGTACATTGCAGTTCCTGTCTTCGTTAAAAACATACTAGAACTTAATAACATTTTGTCAAATGAACTTAAAAGCTTCCATTTTGTTTTCCTTAACAAAAAAGTTATCGATGAATGCACAAAGTTGTTAAAATTTGCTATTTCCTCTTCGAAACAAAATTGTTCGCTCCTGACAGCCGCCATTTTACATTGCACAGAAATACATAATTATGTAAAACCTATGCATAAATTTAAATATTAACCTTGACGTCACAGACAAGAAATATTAACCATTGACCCAGCCGTTAAGTGGGCGAGTGGCGAGAACACAACGGCTGGAATCTGAGCCTAAGACACCCATCGCCAAGAATAGAAAAGAGACTCCCCAAATTCGTCTTCTACCAGTGAAAATGAGCAATCGAATCCTACAGAAATTTACAACGAAGCAATAACTCGTATAGCAACACTTGCATCCGATGAACCAGCTACTTTGACATCACAACAAACCAGTACCTGGAACGACACGTCAACCACTAAGAAAGATTTATATATTGAAACAGCATGCAAGAAAAGCTTGCATGAATGTCTGTGACGCTATTGCGCCAAATGCTAGGGAAGAATTATTCAATGCGACAGCATACTTTTCGCAAAATCAGGTGTCTGATTATCTTGTTGCACTTATGTCTGCATACCAACTTGCCGCCACCAGAAACGCAAAGCTTCAAATTCTAAGTATTTATGCGAACAGATATCCAAGAGAACCCTGATGAAACTACAAGAGCCATACGGAAAAATAACGAAATGGCAAATAAAGAAAGCGAGGGCACATGCTAACTTAAATAATCCAGGTAACAAAGTAGAGAAAATCAAGCAAAACAGGATTCGAATAGATAGAACTAAGCTAGATCATTTTATTGATTTTGCGAATCGGCCTTATTTCTACCAAGACGTGGCGTTTGGAACAAGAAAGCTCAAATTAGATTCGGGATCAAAGCTAACAATGCCAAATGTAATACGTAATGTTACAAGATCAACACTGATCTCTCAATACACGCATTATTGCGAAGAGCAGAAGGTTGAGGCACTCAGTCGTACCACACTTTTCCGAATCGTCTCCGAAATATAAGAACTAGGCGTGGGGAGAGAATGGGATGAAATAACTGTATAGAAATTGAATTCCGCCAAAGTATATTTAAAGTCTAATTATTTGGTTCACTGTAAAGAGGAAAGTCCATGTCCTGATCATTGTAGGCATTTTGCACTAAGTGATCCAACAGATAAATTGCTCCAAGAGTCGTGCGATCACGAGGATTTGCTTTTCTGCGACAGATGCGAGGATTTGAAATAGGTCATCAGTGATATCGAAGAAGCAATTCAAAAGAATTCTAGTAAATTTTTCTCCTGTGAACAAAGAGACGACTTGCTTTATGATTTGAAAAGTGCAAAAGAAAACATTTTCAAATGGAAATCTCGCGTTCTGAGATCATGTAATCAAGAAACGGCAAAATAGAAAGTCCTATCATCACTTGACGAAAGTTCGGCTCAAATTGTTATAGGTTGGGCAATGAAATTCCTACAGTTGAAGCACCGAGAAAAGCAGTCTGACTGGTATGGGAAGAGAGGTATCAGTTGGCACGTCAGTACTGTAATTACAAAAAATGTCGAGACAGCCAAGATTGAAGTATCAACTTACACACATTTAATAGATTCTTGCACCCAAGATTGGTATGCCGTCGCATCAGTCTTTGAGAATCTTTTAATAAATGTTCGTAAACGATATCCCAGCATTAGAAATGTTTATATACGGTCAGACGAAGCCGGGAGTTATCATAACAATTTATTAATAGCATCATTAAAATATATCGGGAACAGAGTCGGGGTAAAAGTCGTCAGTTACGACTACTCTGAACCACAACACGGTAAGGACATAATATGTGACCACACATTATGCACAATGAAACTAGTGATTAGGAGATATTACGACGAAGGCCACGATATTTTGAGTTCGAAAGACATGAAGAAAGCACTCTTGAGGGTCCCGTCAGTGGAGTTACTGCTTCGGTAAACATAATAGACGAGTCAAAAATGTAAGCTGAGGTAAAACCTATGAAAAACTTCAACAGTTTTCACAACTTTGAGATAGAAGAACAGGGTCTTAGAGTCAGGAAAGAATATGGTATCGGGAAAAGGAAATTCTTTCTCAGATATTGTCATTAAAAAACAAGCACAGACAGATATTCAGGAAGATGATGGATTTTTTAAATTTAATGTGAGAGCTATGAAAGAAGAGAAACAAATAGCAGAGAACGACGAATCAAATGCATTCGAGTGTACCGTTCCATGCAGGATGCAAAAAAGTCTTCAAATGTTTTGAAAATCTGGAAACTCATCTCAGTGCGGGAACCCACACCAATACTCTTGAAAACGAGACATTGTACGACAGCTTGAGAAAGAAATGGCCCGATAAATTTCATACAATTAGAAAGGAAAACAATCAGATGCGAGTGAGGTATTTGTAACCTTGACCAGCCACCCCACGGCGCCAGAGAACAAAATGGGCTGGGCTCTAAGCAAGCCCAATACATCTTCCCGGTTCAGCACGAATGTCCGCAATTATTTGACAGAAAAATTTGATATTGGTGAGCAAACTGGCTGCAAGTTTAACTCGAGTGATGTAGAAGCTGATATGCGTAAGTGTAGGAATGAAAACAACGGGTGACGATTTACTCGCGAGGAATGACTGACATAAAACCAAATCAAAAGCTTTTTTTCTCGTCTTCCTGCTGCTAGGAAAAAAGTAATGAAATGGAGGCGGAGGATGAAAGCCGGGATGTTGGCCCAACGGAAGACGTAGATGATTCAGAAGTGGAAATCTGGGAGAGAGTTTGCCAAATAAACGACATTGTTGATCAAATAGGAATTCAGCATCCTATCATCTATGACATTTATGATTTGTGTCAGTATTACAAAAATGATAAACTTTGCCTATTTAATATCAGCATGTTAAGAGCTATATGTGTGGGCATTTCGAGATACCATTCAAGTCAAGAGATCGCAAATCTGACCTTATTCTGAAAGTTGGAGAAATTATATAGTGAATGTTGCTCGAGAATCGATGAATAACTGCATGGTGACATTATATACGTATAGATGTGCAGTGATAGTTCATAGAGTTATGAATATTTAATTTAACTGCTTGGTACAATCATGCCACAAAGTAGTCGCCACTCAAAAAGCTGAAATCTCGGTTGAAATTGTCTATATAAGTAGAACTGACTAAGCAATGTATAATTAAGGCCCACACAGACCGGTTAACTTGTCTGTGCTAGCAGAAGAGGTTGCCTCAGTTTTTACATAATTATTTTGTATATAATAGAGAGATAAATGCTAGGATAACCAGACAAAGTAATCTTTTACATTTAGCCAAAGTTAGAACAGAAGCTGCCAAAAAGTCATTTTTTTATAATGGCTGTGTAGTTTTTAATAATTTTAAGCGCAACAGTGATGTTATGTAATTTTTAGCCTTTTATATATCGTATGATATTTTTAATGTAATTTTTTAAGCTTTATACCATAGACTATTGTACTTGTAACTTTATTCAGGGCTCCTGTTGATAACACTGTTCACTGTAGCACTGAAAGTATTACCCTGACAAAATAAAGATCTTTCATTCATTCATCTATTAACTCAAAATATGATTAAAACTTTTAAATTTTGTGCGCTGCGCGAGCCATTTTTAGTTTGTTAGAAAAGACACACACTGGTTCACAAAATTTAAGTTTGAGAAATTTTTTTCATTATTCTACATTATAAGTACCCAAAGAAGCTATATATATAAAAAACCGGATACAAATAGGTGTTTTGCGAAATTGAGAGCAATTTCAAATCTGTCCAGTTTTTTTCTGACACACCCTGTATATTCCGCTGATGTTAGATGTTGCCTTAATTGAGGGTGGGAAAGGGTACTGTCGTGAGCCGTGAATGGTCAATATTTGTTCGCGTGAAATGTGAAATACTTGATTTTAGTGTCGTTAAATGTGATTTGTTCTACAGCCGTGAGGTGTGATTGTCGATAAAAATGCTCCGTGGAATGAGAATTGAATGTCTGTTTCGTGAACTGCGATTTTGCTTTGTTTATTTCGATCTATTTTATAATAGCCATAATAGACATGATACGCGATAATCAATTTACATGTTCTCACTCGATTGCACAAGAGTAAAAACTTCGGAGGCCTTTCGGAGGTCGTCGGACATACTCGTCACTCAAACTTCTAAGTTATGAATATGTAGTTTTTAGCTGACAGGTAGAGAAGTGAGAGAACTTAAAGCGTAGATACTGTACCATGCATTAAACATATACTCTAAATAAACATATATTATTATTTTATTAGAATCTAGTTTTCCGTGAAATTGTTTTTTTTTCGTTGTGAAACGTCATCCATACCCACTTTCCCACCCTCTTAATTCCGCTTCAAAGTGAAAAATAATGCATATGTGTTCTGGCTTGCAACTTATTTACACAAAATCGCTTCAAGTGACAATGTGCTCCGATGTGCCATACTTTATTGTTTTACTCCATTTAACGCGAGACGATTTTACCCTTGAAGGAGAGTGCCACACAGTGGGATATACTGCGCATGCGTCAAGATTACTGCAGTGCAATAATCAATTTGTTCTTTGGGTAAATCGTCAGTGCTAGTTTGTTTTGTCTGGACAGTAGGATGTTATAGGCTCCTGTCTCTGGCTCACTAAAATCTACATATATACTTACTATATGTCGAAATAGAGTTGATCACAATTTGCACCATGGCTGAAACCCGCCTTTGTTAATTATAAAAACGTTACTCCTGGCTCATGCGCAATATCTACTAGTGGGTCGTCGACCGGTAGATTTTCGGCGGGTGCATCGAGCATTTCAAAAATAATTCAGTCCCTATATTTATGAAACAAGGAAAACAAGTTCGTGCAGGAAATGTTCGAAGAAATAATCATACACGTTGTGAAAAATCTTACAAGATTTGTCCCATCATGCATGTGCCTTGCTTTCGTTTGTTGACTTAAATTAAAGGCTGCCTTAAGTCCCGTAAAGACGATCAAGGTTTGAAACTTCCTTGAGAACTTTACTTTCTCGTGTCTACGGTCAAAAAGTTTTCCGCGACAAGTTTTGTCAATGCAATCTTTTGTTTGCCATGCAAAACCACATGTAGAAGTATTTCTTATTGGCATGCGAACCAAGGCATGTTGTCAATAAGATTTCAATCATGCATTCTCAGTTTTATCCAGTCGTCTGAAGGAACTTGCCGTTTCTGAGACTCTAGAAAATTTTTCAGAGGGACAATGCCGCCAACTAAGGACTAAAAAGGTACTCCAGCTGATTGTTCTGAAAGTTCAAGAAGATCTTTGATCACAATGCATGCATGGAGTTCAGATATCATCCTGCTGCTTCAAAATATTTTCTCCAAAATTCTTGGTTACGCATACTAATTAAACATTATTGTATATTCACATCAAACGAGTAAAATCTCAGGAAAGATTATTCCCTGAACATTATATTTACAGATTGTTATATGTCCGCACATACGCGCAGTTCCACACAAAATGTGCAGTTCTAAACCCATTTGTGCAGTCATCACACTAACAAAAATAGCCTTAATCAAAACAGTCTTCTCATTTACTCGTTACCCTTGTGGATGTTCCAGAAAATTCCAGAAATGCTGTTATATAATTAATTGAGCATCAAAAATATAAACGTTTTCTGGGGGAGGACTCCAGACCCCCTATTTTCCTCAAAAATTACTTAGAACGTGCTGGGGTAAAGGAACAGAAGGTAAAATTGGGGCGAGCGAAGCACCCCAAAAGAGATTAAATTGGGAGAACCTAATATTCTTTGCTGCCTCAAATGCAAATTTACGGTTGTTATATATTGAATATCAGTGATTCCCAGTTACATGTTTTGAAACAGTTTTTGTGAGTGGTTGGGTAAAAAAATCTTTGCCAGAACTTAATTAAGAGCTTCTAGATTCAAATTGTTTTGTGGAACACCCTCTAGCTCTCACACCCAAAATCGAGTTTGTCTGGCCTTTCTCTAATTCTCCCACCCAACCACACCATTATTCTGTCACCTATATGCAAATAAAAAACCCTTCGACCTCCTCCCCCCCCCCCCC